AACACAACATTAATTTCTTGATGACCTAATAGGCACCTTTTAACATGTTAGCTGCTGCCTTGTAATAATTCACATTCTGGTGCCAAATTCCTGAAGTACCAAGAAGCAATCACAATATCCCAGAGTTAAATGCCACAAAGAAACTTTATATTTGCAGTATTATGGTCTGTGAACAACCAGAGGGTCACATGGCAGCCAATGTGTTAAATTCAGAAAAGTGCATGATATGTGCTTATTGTTGCCTATCAGCAATTTAAATCTCTCCACATTGGCTTGGTCAATTTGACTGACCACATTACCTCTTTGTACTCATTTAAAATCTTTATACATTTAATACTTCTAACTTTCAATATAGTGTGTATATATATTTCACAAAATTTGGCAGTTTTTCAGTTAACATACAAAAAGTCACATTTTTCGTGAGATGTTTTTAATAAACTAAAATAAAGATTTGTCCATGAATATATTGAGTATTTGTTTTGAATAATCTGTGTGCAAAGTGATTTTTCATGTTAAGATTAAAAATACTTTTATTCTCAAAAGTCTCAAATTTCATGTGTGTAATCTCTAAAACCTCCTGAAATCCATTTCAGATGTTTTTTTTTTGAGTAAAACTTTATAGTTTATCTGTTATTTTCTCTATCTTAACTCTATACAAGGTGGTTCAATTTGAGTGAAATCTTAACCTCTCCCTCCCAAAAAAATCGAAATAAATTGAAATTACCCTCCTTTTCTTTCTAAAATTACTTCAAATGTAGTGTGAAACTACATTCATTTATGCTAAGTAGCTTTAACTTCCTAACAGCATACATCTATTTGTAATTAAGTTTTATTATTTGATTGCCTTTTGATTGACCTTTGAACCATGTCTAACTACTATTCGCTCCAATATATGTTGTAAATCTCTTGTGAACATGTAGCTAAGATTATGCTATCGAATTTCATTAACCATGAGCTACTTGTGTGCGTGCCTTGTGAATTTTTATATTATTATTATTATTGTTTATTTTACCTAATCTAACCTTAACTAACCTAACGAGATATCTATCTTTACATGGAAGTAGCAGGAGGGGTCTGACTTTCTATTTAATAGCTATGTAACCAAACAAAATTGAAGGCTATAAAAATTGTGGTTTGTTTGAGCAATGACAATTTTATAGCAAGTAATTTATCTTTAACTTCATAGTTTCTTGTGTGTGTGTGGATAAAATAGAGATGAGAAGATACCTAGAGGAAATGTATCATGTGAGTCACACTAGGGGAA